CTGCTGTCCACTTGGCTTTAAACACCCACCGCTTGGTCGGCTTCTTCTTCTCGGGGGTTCTATTCATCGCGGAATTTCCATATAAAACCTGTAGCTGTGTGTATTGTTGAACATCTCTGATGTGAATAAACAACACTGGGGCGCCAAGACCGAACACTAATCACGTGATGAGCAAATCCAATTTCATTGGATAGGAGCCAACGTCGAGTGCATTGTCTATGGTGCGCCAAGGGGCATTTTCATTTTTTATAATTTGGGAAGATTGAAATCGGTAGGGAAAGCCAGCTAAATCGGTAGGCGGTAGAAACATGACAAAAGCGGTAGACTACCGCCCAAATCGGTAGGGTTGGCAGGTATGTATACTTGTGTAAAGTTTGTGAAGGCAGGAGGAAAGCTTCCGCGATCACCGTCTCCTCTCCGTTCCTCCAAACCCCGCCCCCTCCCTGAAAATAATGAGTGACAGGCTGATAGTGACCCGAGAGAAACTTTATTATTCATTTAATCACTGATTGAGATATGATGAAGCTAACTTAATCTCATACATTCATGGGATTTATGTAACAGTAAGACAGAGAATGTAAGTGTGCACCCACATGCACTATTTTTGTTTTTATAATGCTGTTGTAAATACTCCTGTTGTCTGCTGTGTTCAGACTCAAGTCATGTGTGTGATGCCACATTCAGGACATTCAGTGTCTTTTTTTTAACAGAAGACCGTAGCTAGAAGCTGCAGTTAGACTGCAGAAGTTTTAGTTTTTGAGGATGGAACCATTTTCACACACAGATATAGGGAGGCTAGACCTATACAATTGATTTATTATGGTTTATAATTTAATGTCAAGACGAAGAAGAAGAAGAAAAAGATGGCTGAACAACTGTTCAGTGTCAATCCTGTGGAGATCTCCAAAATCATGTTCAGCTTAAGTCTCAGCAAAACTCACAACATTTCTGGAGCCTTGTAGACCCAGAAAACTATAGAACATTCACCAAGCAGCACTGAAAATGTCTGCTTTATTTGGTTCTGTTCTACATACCTTTGTGAAGCAGCTTTTTCTGAATGAAATCTAAATACAGAACAATGCTGACTGAAGAACATTTAAATTACTCTATTAGAGTGAACCTAAGTGGGTACACTCCAGCAGACCCCTGTATGGTGGACTGACAGTGCCATTCATCTCACTAACAAAAGAGTGAAATGCTTGTAAGGTGGTGATTAAGGACACTTATGTGAATGTTAAGTGATGTACTTATTATGTGGGCCATAATAATATGTGAGAAATGTTCGTTTTCTTGGAACTTGATGTGAAGTTAAGATTTTGTATAAGCTTTAGGTATTGCAATTTCACACGTGTACAAAAGTAGCTTAATTCAACTGATGAGGGCTATGTGAATAAATGTAAGCGATGTGATGCAAGTAGCTCTTGGCCACTTTCATTTTTTCAAAGTAGCTCTCAGATGAAGAAAGGTTGGAGACCCCTGACGTAAATAATACTCATTACATTGACACATGCATTATTTGTGATTAAAATAATGGTTGTTGGTAATGTATTAGCGACCCCCACAGATGTATGATTTCACTGCGTCCGTGGGAGCTCAGACCCCTCCTTATGGGAGCTCAGCTCCCATTGGCTCCCACATAACTCGAACCCTGGCTGGACAGCTAACACAATGTAGGTTTATCACACCCTTTTTTGTTTAAAAATATATAAATATATATATCTTAAACTACACAATTAGTTGGAAGATACTGAATGAAACTGAAGAATTGATTGACAAGTGTCTGTGGGTTCATGACTAAGAATGACCTATTTTACATGACACATAGTCATTAGATCCATTGTTATTTAAAGAAACTGATTAGCGCATTCGAAACAATTACCAAAAACCCACACAAAGAGGGGAATTGTCCAAAACAGTCAATAAAAACTGTTATAAGATGAGTCAGTGTGGCATGAAATTGACTCACTAATTAATACCCAGGATTGCTGGCATGGCAAACTTGTGAGTTTCCTGCAGAGCTGCTCTGAAGGTGATGCAGCTGTTCGGCTTGTCTTTGAAGCTGTGTGCTCCAAAGACACATGTAGGAAAGATTTATCTGTTTTTATTTTCGGGATTAATAGATCAGCAGAGTGACTGATACTAGCTGTTGGTTGCAGATAAGAAGTCTGGCAACGACTTTGATGTGTCAAACAACTTGCTGTTAATAATGTGGAGATTGATTTTCCCTGCTTTGAGTACCCCTGTTTTAACTGAAGTCTTGATTTATAACACTTTGTCACACCACCACATGAGGAGGATAGTGACTGCCTCAGTTCAACAACCAATTAATCATATTGCTGCAACAAGGGGGAAATGTGCTGAGGCATGATGTATAGATTATGTGTTCTGGTCCCATTTTGTTGTCACATTAAACCACACTAAACCAACAGCTTATTTGTGAAAAGCTGTGGATAAAATATAGTGAGGATAATTGAAGTACGGTAATTTTCACTAGTACTGTAAGTGCTTGTTAATTAAATGTATTCCAGTAAATATATGATTTTGGACAATTACCAGAATGTCAAAATATATACTGTTTTGAGTCGAAGCTGCATGCTAGGAAATGTATTAATGATGAATCGAGTCTCATAGCCAAGTAATTCCCCAAATTGCTGGTGTTTGTAGCAAAAGAGGGTGTGTGGGTATGTGTGGGAATATGCTTGAATTTGTGTAAGCTGCGTTCTAAGCCCCCTGCTGCCTCAGCCTATCGAAGCTTGTCAGGTTTCTAAGTGAAAGATGTCGTCAGCACCAGTCTGCAGTGCTGAAATGCAAGGAAAGAACACATGGGCAAAAAGGGTCAAATGGAAAGGAAGATTAAACAATACGACGTAAACAAAGAAACAGCAGAGTAAGAAACGTGAAGTGAAGAATTGTAAAAATGCAACCGGGAAGATGAAGGACACACCTGGAGATAGGCACATTTCCCGAGTGGGATGTTCGAATATTACGCAGGGTTTAGGACACCTTCAGTGGTCTGAATGGCGTTCCAGAAGAGCCTGTCAGTAGTCGCCGCTCCTCCATCCATCCATCTAGACACCCAGGGACTCCATTACACCCTGATGGGCTGGGATGGAAAACCAATCGAGGGGATATGGGTACGAGGAGGAAAACAACGTATTGGCGCTGGGAACCACACAGACAGGCAATCTGCCATGATGAAGAGGCTCCCTTCCCTGTCCCTCCTTTCGGACCCAGCATGTCCTCCCGCATCCCCTTCAAGCCCCACTGCGCTCTACTGCAACGCCTTGGCAGCTGACCAACCCGACACCTGCCACACTTCTTCGCACTCTCCGCAGGCCTCGCCCTGAGCCCTGGCAGCATGCATCCGCTCACATCATCACATGGAGAACTGAAGCACAGATGCATTCATTGGATGAAAATAGATGGGAGCCGTGTTTAAATTGTGTTGAAAGTAATTTATGGTTTTCCTGAAGTTCAGCAGATTTGTAGTGGGCTTCCGTCCGGATTAGTTGCTGTGCTCAGGAAATGTCCAAGGCTGCAAGGTTAGCTGCAGTGTACTTAACCTACCCTCAGACAGTCTGCGCTAGATATACCTGTTAGTGCAGTGGGGGTGGTATGATCAATTCATTAGAGGCAGCAAAGGACTACAGATATTAATATAGCAACAGCAAATCTACACTGTGAAAACACGGCAATCCATCTCACTGAAGACTGTATGCCTCACAATTGGGCTGGAATAGGAGAATTGTGTATTTATTGATTCTCACTGAAGGCTTGGCTGGCTTTCTTTTACTTACTCCTTGGGCCTGATCTTTGCTCTGACTACTGGCTAAACACGCGCCTTATTCAATGTGTTGTTTTTCCCAGTGTAATTGTTGCTTTATTCTGCCTCATTATAAGTGTACTGCTTATTATTGATCTTAGGATACTATGATTTTTAGACATACACGGCAGTCAGTCGTGACCTATGAAGTATACATTAGTTACATTATCTCTGGTTTGAATTCGTCCTGCAGCACATTATACTTTAACAGCCACTATGAATTTCAGATTCTGACACACAGCTTTAATGGTGTTCATCCATTTTGTTCTATGGTGTGGAAAGGGTTAGCTTCTTTACACACATAATACAGCAGGACAATGAACCTCCATGTGCATACATTACATTACATGTTTATAGCTAATACTTTTCATCGGATATGGATGTAATACCTTCAAAGGAAAGCTGGGAGTTGGCACTTTAACCTCACTGTCATATTCTTTATTTATTTTACAAATTATGATATTGGATTTGGTCATTATATAAATGTATTAAACATACGGTTTTAACATCAGAAATTATGATCTTCTTTTGTTTATTGAATTTTTGATCTACCCTGTTCCCGGCACAGGGACTTCAGATGTAATTAAGCTTGTAGCTAACTCTGGTATTGCTAAGAAGCTGTGCAATGCAATGATCTAACAGCACCAATACAAAAAAAAGAATATATTAGTTACTTAAATTTGCTGTGATGTGTTGGATTATAAAATTGTTACCTGAAACACTCAGTTGAGCTGCTCCACAGTGAAGAAATGTTTTGTCACAGAGGGTGAGGGGGTGTTGTACTGAAGTTTTCTCTAACAAGTGCTTGTTTGTGTGGGTGGAACCAAAATAGGTCTTTCAGATCTACACTTGGAGTCTCCGAAATCTGCTTCAGTGTCACTGAAAGAATTTGAATTCTGAATATGCACATTTCCTCACACCCCTGGGTCATCTTGTTTGCAATTTATTTTTAACAGATTGATCCCATTTCTACAGAAGTTTTCTTTCTTCTGGCAGTCTTTTTTGCATTGTACTATTTTTATTCTGCAGTTCCATCTTACAAATGTTTTCTTGGTGAGATCTCTTACAGCATATTGTTGTCCTTTCTGCAGATGTCTGCTGCCGTTGTTAAACATGAATATAAAACTGTGGATGGTTAAAATGCAACAGGAAGTCTGATTTTAGCCTCTCTGTGCAGGTGCCCTATGTCAAGGTGGCTCCAGAGGACATTCTGAAGGTTCAGTTCCCTCGCTTCACCACTCTGGACATGAGGCCGACCAACACGGACATCAGCCTGGCTGTGGCCGGCCTTCTCACCTTCTTTAACAGCACCACCTCCTGCCTCATCTGTGCACAGGCTGACTGTGAGTACAGCGTTCACACCTTCACAACAAAACACACCATCACACACGAGGGGGAGAATCTGCCAACATGTGCAAACATGTTGTCTAATGTCTGCTATCCTTTAACACATGTAAACAGACATACGTTTTTCGCACTCATGTCGGCTGTGTTCTAACAACAGATGTGTTGCTTATCAACATCTCACCCTGTGTCACGCTCCGCTCTGAAGCAGCTGCTGCATCAACATCCCTGGCTTCTGCATCCAAAATAAATCACATTTATTGCGGGGTTCTTCCTCATTTGCAATGTCATAATGATCCGTAAATTAAATGATATAGTACGTTACATGGTGTCATGTTTATTCTGTCTTATACTTTCCATCTTAATGTCATGTTTGCAAGTCTGTGTACACCTAAGAAACACACTGCTGAAACTCCTCTTTAGATAGACTAAAAAGAACCAGGGTTGAGTTTGAAGTTGTATCTACGAGTGATCTGACCGCCTCCCTGTCAAAGGCGCTCATTAGATTCTAAAGATACTAAACTGAATGACCTTAAAAAAAGCTTGAAGATCTCCTTGATGGAAGTTATTCTCGTAAATAGAGAGGAAGATTAAACCATAGCCCGTTCCCACCCTCTTGTAGTCCAGCAAGCAGTAATTACAACTCCCTAGACAAAGGCACCATGACCCTGAGTGGCACCCGCTAACCTTTTCCCTAATCAGCACAATGCTTTGAAGAAAGGAAATAGACTTGAGACATCAACCATGTCTCAGACTGCCTGGAGATGGCAATGAGCCACTCTGAACCGCCCACCTCCCGCCTATCTCTATTATCAGTTATTCTGCCTTTCAGCTGCCTCTTTGACTGTTTCCTTTTATTCATAACCTTTAGGACAAAATCTGTCACTCAAAATGACATGAATTAAACCAAAATGTTTGTATTTACAGTCAGTTAAAGTAGATTCATGCTGTTATTTTTGTACCCTCTTTCAATGCATTTGATTAGGAAGAAATTCGTAAATAAATAATTTAATGCACTAAAAGGAAATATATATATATATATATATATATATATACATAATTGTAGTTTAAACCGACCTTACTACACAACCAATTTCACTGCAAGGGTAAAATATATCTTTACTTGTTTTTCCTTCTAGGTGTTTCTGTACCTGTCAGTCATTTTTCTAATTCAGGGCAAGATTCTGTTTCTGTGACATGTATTCCACCGAGAGTTGATTAATACAGCTCTGGCGAGAATAGTGATAACAAGCGAACCTTTTAGGCACCCTTTGACTTTAATATTAGATAGTTTGGGGAAAAGAAACTCATTTTAACGTTACTCTTTTTGTTCCCTCTGGGTGGGTGTGCAGGTTGGAGGGGAGGTTGTTATTCTGTGTCCCTGGTCTTTGAGAGTACTGGAAAGGAAATTAAATGAAATAAAAATAAATGAAATGAGGGTAGATCAGAGGCAGATAAAAGACTCTAAGAGGAGTCCAACATGAGAGAGGGGTGGGAGAGGAGAGGACAAGAGAGGATGCTATTTGGCAGATGTGGCAGGGGTGAAATGTAGTTGTTTGGGGTGAGGAAAGGGAGAAGGCAACCACACTAGAATTATACATTAACGAGAGGGAGACAGTCCAGGAAATGACGCGGCTGTATTGATTGCACTCTCTCATGTGACCCTCGTTCATTCAATAGAAAAGGCATCACATGGCAGCATGCCTGGATGGTGTGTGTGTGTGTGTGTGTGTGTGTGTGTGTGTGTGTGTGTGTGTGTGTGTGTGTGTGTGTGTGTGTGTGTGTGTGTGTGTGTGTGTGTGTGTGTGTGTGTGTGTGTGTGTGTGTGTGTGTGTGTGTGTGTGTGTGTGTGTGTGTGTGTGTGTGTGTGTGTGTGTGTGTGTGTGTGTGTGTGTATAAAGGTCTGTGTTCAGTCATAGCAACAGCTGAAACCCATTCCACTTTGGCTCCTTCTCTCTCGGCCCCTCCCTGTCAGTTGGTCGGTTGAAAGCCTGTCGGTGGCCTCATTAATCACCATAGGTAGAGACAGCCTAATAGAGCGTGGCCAATACATGAATATTTTCCAGCCATGGCTGAGGAGGCAGGAGCGGAGGTGGAGCTGTGCCCAAAGGCACAGTGCACACCAGGACGGACATTAATAAAGCTAACCTCCACTATCGATAGCAGTGTGTGCAGCAGCAGCCGCATTACTGTACATCTGGCTCCGAAAACTCTCCATGTGGTTGAATTTGTTGACCTACTGGGGGGCCCACATGTTGTGTGGTTGAGGCCTTTGGTTAATGAAAAGAGACACGTGTTAAAGTGCACGCACTGGACTCTGCATGCACACACGTACACTGTGCAAATCACACACATTCCCATGCATGCTGTTTCTGCTCTCACTCACACTGCGCTACAGCAGACTACTTTCATTAGTGAGGTGATTGGTGCAGCTGTCAGTAAGCTGAAATAGAACATCCCTTAAACTCTGAAATGTTGACTGGAACTGCAATGCAGGTACACAGGATTTATAAGTTCAACAAAACAGTAGGCCACATGCTTGCAGAGCATTTTTTTTTTCTCCTACGATAGGCACAGTTTGAGAGCAAGGTTTGCCACTTCAACTCACTGCATCACTCCACTGCAGCAAAGTAAGAGACAAAACTTACTTGGTATCATGGTTTCACTTTAAACTTTTAGTTTTGTATTTAATTATAGATTGTGACGTCTAATAATTTGCAATTTTCCATTGCTCATGCTGACCTACTGTGTCTACTTTTCTAACTTGTAATCAGTGTTAATCAGGTGGAAGAGACATCTCAATGACTTGTGATCAGCACTGTGTTATTGGTGTTAGGATGACGAGAACATAGTAATTGCAGAGGATGGTCTTAATACTACATAATTACTTTTATAATTGTAATTCGTGGCCACTAATGATCATGATGTGAAAGGCATTGATGTAGGTAATCAAAGTGATAGTGGTGATGGTGCGAGAAGCAGCAGCACTTTGGAGTTTTAAAAAGCTTCTCATTGAATAGATGAAGGGCAGTTGGCTTACATGCTGATTTTTTTAAATAAAAGTTGTTGAACTACGTTTTAGATTTGTGGAGAGTGGGCAGGGTTTGTGTACATAATTGCAAACATGTTGTATTTCTCTAGAGTAAATTGCAACAACTTTTTTTTGATTTTATTAGAAAAGGGATTGATTCCTCACCAGCATAAATGAAATGTGAACATTTCAATCAAAAGACACATCAAGAGGCATCTCCTGTAAATGATATACGGTTTTCCATATGATGTATTGTGACTATAACCAGTTTCTACAGAAAATCAGCAAAGGAACATACTACTGTAGGTAGAGTATGTTTCCATTCACTACGGTTATGTGGGTATTAGGAATTGGGCGTGTCAAGGTAAACAGCTGGTGGAGCTAATTGCCCAGTCAGGAGCCATTAAACCCTTGGAGAAGGACAAGGCACAACAACAAATTAAAGGAGAGCCAGTCAAAACTAAAACACTGAAAACATTGTCTCCTCTTCTAGCCTTTTAAGTGACATACTTTTTCCATAAAGTTTCATTGCACTGAGCATTTTGCTTTTATAAAAACAACAACCTGTAAAATATGTATGCATTTTCTTTTGATGTGGGTTTTTCATGGATTTTTAGTATTTAAACTGCCCTTAAAAACAGGTGTATGAAAACCACTTTGTGTCATACTCGGTTTATATCCAGCATGGAGCTTTCATCTTTACCTGTCCATTTAAGACACAATAAAAAGCCAGACAAAGTAGTATCCCTTGTGGAACACTCTACATGGGGCATTTTTACAACAAAACATGTGAACCTGAACCCTGCTATCTTTGCCTCTTGCCATTTTCTCATTTATTTTCACAATTGACCGCTTACACTCACTACACGGTAATATCACCCTCAAGCTGAAATAGCTACAAGAAAAGCTTTTGCAAGGATAAGGTATTTGCACTGCACGAAGAATTTATATGAATTATGTTTGCAGAGAAATCAGGAAGTAACTGCACATTAGATCAGTCCCATCACCGTGTGACAGGTGGATTATTGCCATTATTGATGGTTGTACTTTTATGGTTATTTGGGTTAATAGGAAGGGGAATAAGCTCTGGAATTTGTATAATGTTTTAACACATGATCTTGCAGACAACATTTTAAAGTGATGCCCAGCCATAAAACTAGGTATTACTCAGTTGAAGGCTAAATGATAAGTCATCATAATGTATGGCTCCATTCAAAAATGGTGGGACTATATTTATTGCTTCTTCAAGACGGAAGATTTCACTATACTGTACATTATTCAAATACACCATCAAGGAATGCATATTCAGCTGCTTTAATGTATTCTGTTAATGTTTTTTATACTGCTTGTTCCTCTGTGTGTTTGCGGCTCTGTGTGCTTGTTTTGGGTCACTTTTGTGTCTCTGCAAAAGCACTGGCACTGTTGTGTGTGTGCATGCATGTGTGTGGTGAGTATGTGAAAGGTAAATTAGTGCTGGTTTCCTGACTTGAATATCAGCTCTCACCTTTATTTTTGTGCCTCAGTGAGAATTCGAGCCATGTGTCTTCCTTGCCAACAAGTTGTGTGTTAACAAACACACAACTTTAATCTATATAAATACCTTGACAGGATTCTCTTTGACATAATTCATTCTCTAGATTCAATTTACACTGGATTACACAAAACTAGGTACCAAATCAAAACTCTGACTCTGAACTTAAGGTTATGATCCTTAAAGATTCACTTAACGCCAGGTCTGACTGGTCCTTGGATGCATCTGCAAGGACCCCTAGTAGCGCTATGAATCAGTTTTTTTGTAGATTGTCCTTGTTTAGTTATCTACATTCCTGCCAGTGGATTCACACTTTTCCACTGATCTTGAGATGGCAGTTACAGTATGTCCAAGAAACACACTAATGAGGCAGCAATGTCAGGAAATACTGCAAGTATTATGAAGTAATATGAAGGTAAACAATACAGGATTTAAAGTGTGGAAAGAACTGGCTTGAATTTAAAATAATTTAGGAAATAGATTCAACCTTTTTCTAAGCCTCAAGGATACAGACAATGCGATTAGGTGCATAACTCTGAATGTAAACATAACTTAACTGGAGAAGCAGTAAGATCATGTTATTTCCCTGCAAGGTCAAACTTAAGAAAACCTATTTTTTTCGTTCAGCTTCACAACTCCCCTTTAGATCCTGTGCAGCCAGAACTAAAATGAGCCTTTTCTGTGTGTCCCTTTATTTTAGCAAGTATTTGTGTATGTGCCGTTTGGCAAGTTATATTTAGTAGAAGCTCTAAAGTCTAGTGTCTAATGAACAAGAAACAGCAAGAAGCTAGAGAGAGCGGCTGCAGGAGGCAGGCAAGGAGGGCGATTTAACAGAAGCTATTTCAAGCTCATCAAAGTTATACTACAGAGGAAGCCAATCTGACAGGTCGGAGACACAGCCAGGCGAGCAAGGAGCAGCTACGAGTGATGTCTCATGAGTGCACACACACAGGTAGCCAGCTACAGGAAGACAAACACACCCAATGATACACTGCCGTATAGACCAGATGAAAGAAAGGCAGTAACCGAGACATAATTATAGAAGCCATTAGACGTGATTCTGGTGTCTGGGGCAGTACTATAGCGTGTGTTAATGTGCTGTGGAAAAGCTTAAAAGAGTCAGCTTGATAACTTTAAATTGTTGAACCACAATTGGTTCCCATCTGCTGTCACCATGGCAAACATCACTGTTAAAAGATGTTGACGCCTAAGTCTAGAGTGTCATTTTGTTATTTCTTTATAATGGACATTTTAGGTCGAGGCGAAGCTAATGCAAGTCTAGAGTGAAATGCAAGTCCTTCTGTGTAGCGATACGTCCTTCTCATATGACTCTCCTTGCCAATATCTAGAAATGTTATACGAGTGTGATTAGGACTGCCAAATTGACAATGGGAGGCCAATTTAACCATCACACATACATGCCATGGCTTATTATATTTCTCTCAGCGACTCATTATTCAGGTTGTATTTTTCTCACACTGACACACCTGACAAGTTAGTCTCCTACAGTATATGAATAAATGAGTCCAATAACCTCTCAGAGTCTGCTTATATATGTATGCCGAGTGACTTGTAAAATACAGCTGGGAACGCTTTGATTAAGTCTGCAATGCTTTAATTAAGGCAAATACCACTTACCCCCCTCAGAGTCGAGCGGTCTCTTACCATGGGATCGAGTGCAAGAGAAGTTGATGAAAACGTCCCTTTGTGTTGATGGCTTCACAATAATTGTAATTAAAAGAAATCAGTGGACGTGTTCTGCATTGTAAATGTATTTATGGATTAATTGCTGTGAAATGTGGTGGAAAACAAACAATAGGTACATTAATTTCTAGTTAGATACATTGTATGCATAGTAATTGCATACTGCTTTAACAATACCAACCATGTACTTTAAATGCACTTGACTTTCCTTAACTTTTTGACTGTTTTATCTAATATGAAAAAGCTATATTATACCTGACTTCATATCCTTGGGAGAGTCTTCACTTTATTTCAAGTAACCCTCTTATGTGTTTTTTCTGCGTGTGTCTTACCGGTAGGCTTATTGAACCTGGAGCAGCTCCTCAGGCAGTTCCTCATCTCCAAGGAGACTTTATCAGTGCGCATGCTTGATGACAGCAACGACCCTACCCCGCTCCTGAAGGAGATACGAGATGACAAGACTGCCACTATTATAGTCGATGCCAACGCCACCATGTCACATATCATTTTGGAACGGGTTAGTATGGTTCACATGATGGCTGTGTTATGTATGCACTGATAACTTGTCTTTATTCCATGTCTATAGTCTTGGCTTTATACAGATAGAATATTCCCAAGATCCACATTTATTTAACTCTCATATACCTCAAAAAGGAAAAGTAGCTGAAAACGCCGGTGGCAAAAAGGTTTCAGGGCTAAAAATAATTGAATATGGGGAGAGTTATTTCTTAAACTGTAAGAAGAAGTTGGTTTAGTTTTCATCTGTAAAAGTAAAAGTTTGTATTCCCCAAATAAATAGTGTGCAGTACTTATAAAGTAAATACTTTTTCACCACAGTAATCCATTGGCTCTCTTTAATAAGAAGACGGATTACATGGATTTATGGCAGTAGACATTTAAAAGACATAGGTACAGAACATCTCGGCACCAAAATAAAAGCCAGATGAATTGAGGCAATCTTCAAACAAACCTTTCACATCAAATGATATGGTATTAAATCAAGTTGTATCCCAATGAATTACCTTCGAAAAGGGAAAATGCTACACAGTTAAGTGGATTGATATGAATAAGGACAGGATCATAAAGAGGCACCTTTCTCTACTTTCTAATATGGTGCTCTTATTCATTATCGATCTACCTCTATACTTTCTCAAAAATATGCAACGTTTTTAAGTTTACCGCCTGAGTCGAAAAAACTTGAAATCTTTAGTGAAGACTATTTTTGTGCGTAGCCTAACAATTCGACCTGTATGAGTTAATTGCACATACATATCATTAACGTCACAGTACATTATTAAAACCTCAGACAGTCTGACGTCCACACAAGATGAAGCTCCTCCTGATTGGTGACTTGTGTTTGTAAAGAGCCTTAATGGCATCAATAACGGTGATTGGGCCAGCCGAGGAAGCTAGAGTGTTTGGCAACAGCATATGGCCTCTCTGTGATTAATACACACCTCCATTATTTCTAGAAGACGATGGATGGATGGCTAAAGTGGAGGTGATGGTAACTGCAGACAGAAGGGGGGATGTTTCTCTCGCTTCTCCTCCATTCTCTCAGTTATAGACTCACTCTCACAGTAGACCTTAGTCTCCATCTCTCACCTCGATCAAGCTCATTCAGGCCGCCATCAGTGGTCATCAAAGTCACCATGGCAACCCTGGCAACCCTGGGCCACAGAGCAGCGGGAGCCCTGGGATGTCTTTCTTTCTTTATTTCTCTCTTCCTCTGTTCCCATTCTCCGTCGGTCTGTGTCTTCACTATCAACATGGAGTGGTTGTCGTTCTCGCTCTTTGCCCGTGAGAAGACTATTTCACTTTGTTTCCTCACACCTCGCTCTTCGTGTGGTCTTGTACACCCCATCCCTGTGTCTCTCACTCTTTTGTCTCCTATTTGTGTCACGCTGCCTGTCACGACAATCCTGCAGCAGGGTGGTAGAAAGTTGGCAGTCCTGGCTCTCGTTGAGTGCCTAGATGCCAACCATATCAGATATATATGGCGTATATACTGTACCCTTCTCAGATGGTGATAAGAGTGCTGAGCTGCTCTAGAGGGACAGAATCGCCCTTTGTCATGCAAGACATTTCCCATTATTTGTCTGTTTACATCTTGCAGTTTCTCACTCTCTGAGGATTTTGCATTCTGAGGGGTTTAGGTCAGCAGTGTTAGCATTCTGAATGTAATCTCGTTTATTCAGCCCTCCACTGCTGTGCACAGCTTTACAAAACCAGAGTAGGACTGATAGTGAGCCCAGTATACCGGGGCAGTGCAAACTGCCTGCACTCTGACCAAAAGCTGCAGTAGAACAACGAGGAGATCACAAAGTGGGATGAAAAAAGGAAAATAAGCTTATTATAAATGCAGTGAAAGGAAACCAAAAGGATATTTTTCATCAGCTGCTTGTTTTGGTTGTACTGCGTAAATGCGATTTAGGTTATAATGTCATTTTTTCTTTGGACAGGTAATAAAGACATTAATCACCCAAGTTACAGAAGCTGGGTGTTAGAAATATTACTTCCTGCATAAAGTACTGTTAAACATATGTATCACCTCTGCCATTACCAAGCTTAACTGGCTCTGTGTAACCCGGCAGGGCAGATGCTAAAAACACTAAACCTGAAGCACAAAAATTAAATTACATAGTAATCATGCTAGTCATTTTTGCGTGCTAAATATGCTCAAAGGAGAAAGCTTTAAAAAGTCAACATGAGAGGTCATTCAGTTTAATAGTGACATCTGTGTTTGGTTGTTTTTGCCATATAAGATGTGTTTTTCTTCTCCTCTTTGTGTTTTATTATTTATTCTCCCGCCGAACACTTAAGCTGAATATTCAACAACTGAGTGATTCACACATCGTATGGCATTCAAACACCAACACAGAGGTTACATTTTTACAGATAACAACCTTGGAATAATGTTAGTCTTTCAACTATTTATTATGGAAATATGGAAATGTCAGTGCAGCGAGTTGTAGAAAAGACACTCTCTGTGAAGCGACGCAGAAGGGACATGAGGATTAATACATGCTCACAAAGGATTCCACCCAGGGTTGAATAATGTATAGTAAAGAAATGTTTGTACAAAGAGGACATTCTTTAAAAAGGCTTTTATATATATATCTCCTTGACATTTATTGATTTTAATCATAATGTGCATCACATCATGATTAAACAGAAGCCTATAGCTCGATTATTTTTCTCTTTTGCTAATGACTTTAATTAAATGAAACTATGAAAAGTTCACCCTGTCCTTCACAACTGCTCCTCACTGTGACTTTGATTTAATCAAATTGTAAGACGGAGTGTCGAGCAGCATACTAATGCACTTCGGAAATTAATTGCTCCATTGAGAGCCGTCGTCAGATAAGAATGTGCCTTGTCTTATCTAGATGTGGATTTGATCTGTCTGAGTGGAGCTTGAGTTACACTGAATCACTGACCTCTCAACTTCTCTCCCCGCCCCTTTATTCTAGACTCTCTCTGCTGCTGTTTTGTTCTCCCGCTGCCTGCTCCGTTTCTCTGACCTCCACCATTTTGTTGAAACTACAATCGTCGTATTCCTGTTTTCTGCCTTTTGTATCTTCTATCTCTTACGTTTGCCTTTTATCTCTTACCTCCTGTCCCTCTTGTCTTTTGTTCTGCAGGCATCAGAGCTGGGGATGCTGTCAGTCTACTACACTTACATCTTCACCTCTCTGGTAAGGAAACGGGGGATAGTGTGGGTGTCTGGAGGCAATATAGATTTCACACCTGCAGGAGCACATCAGTAGTCCAATGCTGTGCTCCTGTAGTGTATTAAAATAGTGCACTTTAATTGGTGCTCCTCACTTGAATGATTGATTGAATAGATAGAGTTAGGCAGGCAGGAGCTAAGACAGAGGAATTATAGCTTAGCTTCATTATAGCATAGCTGATTTTCTCCCTCACTGCTTGTGATTTCAAATTACAGACGTACTGAGTGTGGTGGCTGTAATGGCTCCAGTCACTGATAATTTGCCCCTCGTCGGTTGAAGTGCACTCCTGGCCCCAAAAAATACATAATAATGATTATTGTGATTGCTACTTGTACTATTGTTGTTGTTGCTGCTGCAGTTATTAATCTAATAGTGATTGTGGAAAGCCGGCCAAGCCCCCATGGAATGAGCCATCGTCCTTAGTCAACATTCATTTCTGTCAAAGAGTTGAGGAAGAGCTCCAAACCTCATTCATCTTCAGCTTTCTTCTTCTCTGTCTTTTCTTTTTTCCCGTTTTAGAATCTATCTACTCTTTTTGACTGCAGGTGATTTACTCAGTGTTTGCTGATTTAGCTTGTACTGTAAACGTTTCTTTATTTAGTTTTAATTACTTAGCTACTTAGCATAGTTTCTTGCTAAAGTTAGCCTTGGACTCTTGTAATGTTGGTTCACATTTAGGGGCATTTCTATGTAGTTGTATAGTGCCCATAAACTATTTCCTACTGATATAATCACATTGCATTACATAGTGTTGAGAGCACAGCTGCTTTAATCTACTTGTTAACTGTGGTTAGTCAAAACTAATGTAGCTTGGTAAGCGATGCTTCATAGAGGATGTTGCACATTGCACTGGCAAAGCAATCAAAAGAGAGAGAGGCAGCTAAATGTTAACTCTGCAAAGTTGCTTTCAAAGCATTGGCAGGCCACCAGCTGAATCACTTTGAGTGAAACACATAGTTCTTAAATGTTATTTTTTCAAGTTGTAAGTGTTTTTGAGGACAAAGATGTGACCGGAAAGCAAGTTTGTGTTTTTCAGGCAAGGGCAACATGTTTCCTTAATTAATTGCGGGTACTATCTGACAGAGATTTGCTGCCAAAAGTATATCAACTACAACTTTTAGCTTGGCTGCATTTAGAATCAAAAGGTTTGTAGCTTGCTATTCTCTGAGGGGATGCCGCAACTTTCCAAAGACATTGCATGGCAACTAATAGTATATTTTATTATATATATAATATATATTTTATTATTTTCAATAGTGTTTTACATTTTTTTATATAATCTACTGTGCCTTCATCAGAGTGCAGAGTGGTGACAGAGCCGTTTGAAATGAGTCACTGCTGCTAAAAATGTGCACGTCCATGCTGGAAATTAAAGGGATTGACCCCAAACTTGAGAGTAATGGTGTTAAGGAACATAGATGCTAAGGGATCAGTGGGAGTTATTGTAAGATCATAAAGATAGGAGCTTGGAGAAAATGTTATGCAATAGTAAACTTACTAGATAGTGGCTCCCTAATGGAAATTAATGAGGTTCGCAACACTTTGCTCTAATAGCACTGTAGAGATGATTCATATCAAGCTGATTTATGACTCATTAAGAGTGGGCTGCTGCCATGTTTTCCTCTGCAGCCCTTAACATAGTCACTTCTCCTATTTTATCTTTCCTCCCTTTCTTTAACCTGCTTGTCTTTGTTCTTCCGTGTATATAACTGAATATGGTCCATCCTTCCTCTGGCCTGATGTCTGAGGGAGGCTGCAGCATAACACATAGACTCATTGTAGATACTAGATGATGACACACATCCCCCTTTCTACTATTACCACCATTTTCTTAAAACGCTGTCATTGGTCAGTGACGGCATCGTTTATAGCTTGAGCTCACATTCTTGTAACGGACCGTCTCCACAGCAGCGTTAAAAAAATCTTGGAGGTGGGCGTATCTGAGGCTTGGGGATTTATTTGCGATCAACCAATCACATGAATCTCCCGCCCGCGACATACGAAGCCAAAAAGCCCGAAGTAAACTGGATATAAACTCCCCAAAACAGGCGAAAACATACCACTGTCTCTGCCACCTCCCTCCATGCCTGGCTCCTCCGGTTTATATCCCGGTAGGTCTGGTCATAAAGCACCGGGTGATTCCCTACCGCTAATTTCTCCTCCATTTTTTGGAATATGAGGAAATGACCTGCGGTATGTCTCTCCCAGCATACACGCCGTTTGATTGGCTAGAGCTTGAACTGCCAGATTTGCGTACACGGGATTTGATTGGCTGCCGCTTCCACCTCAGCTTCAAAAGTTGAACATTGTTCAACTTTGAATCTTGAAAATCCTGAGAATCTCCGCTCGCCTGCCCACAATGCATTTCGGCGAAAAGTGAGGGAAAGTGACGTCACCCCATTCAAAGTGAATGGGCAGAAGCGTTTCAAGATTTTTTAACGCTGCTGTGGAGACGGCCCGTAATGGTCTGAAGTGCCCCCCCGGCAGCCGGAAACATAATGCAGAAGCTGTGAGTAGAAAAATACATTTGAGCTGTTTTCTCTTTAGTTGTCAATACATGATTCATCCTATTTATTCCGTTTTTAAATGGCGCTGCTGCATCGTGCCTACCACACATACACAACTGCGTAAAAACTTACGGTTACAAAAGAAGGTAGGATAGGACGTTTATTTTGTGTGTTTTATCGCTGTTCAGTTCATTATTTTTCATTTTACAGACTCACTGTGATAGTACATCCCCTAAAAGGGCAATAATACAACGAATGCTTGGGTCACTTTTTCCTCCTCTTATTAAAGTACAGTTTAAGGGACTTTTTTTATGAGACTGTCCTGTCCAGATTAGTTTGAAGACCTTAAAACAACCTGGAACATTCGGTGCCAAGCAGGACGTAATGTGCCATGTAGAGTGACAATGGGTTCCTGATTTCACACAGGGAAATGTGTAGCAAGCTAGATAACTGAGCCAACACGTTATATCTTGCTGCCAAACAGGTGAAAAATCCAGTTGCAGTACAGAAACGGCCAACACGTTATTATTAAACAGCATTGTTCTTATAAAGTTAGTTAACCATAAGTATATGGAAAAATGAAAAGCAAAGACGGAGCTTAGATTGATGCCCAATTATTTGGATTTCCACAGTTACAAGAGAAAAGGTTGAAAGGGTTGAGGACTAACCATTAACGCATCCAGAAATGCCTTCGGTTCTGTGGTCAAATACTACACAATGGTTGTGATCTTGGGAATGAGGCTTTTTTATTTAACATGTAACCCCAGATCATAATGAAGAATGAAATGCTCCGTTGACCTTGAAGTAACACTTGTGAAAACCAACGTTCAAAAGTTTTAATATGCCGCCAGCACTACTCAACATCTTTAAATGGTCTTTCATGCTTTTAGGATGAAGTATTCTCATGTAATACTGTGCAGAAATCAACTATATGGAAGTCATTTATTATTATCGTTGTTTTTAGTGAAAAACATTTAAAATATAAAAATACAGTACTGTTCATACTGTGTCTGAATTATATGTTTTTTTATCCATAAATATAAGAATGAATAAAAACATCAAACAGATGATTTCAAACTTAGCTAGCTGGCTGGAGATGCTTAGGTTTACAGCTTTCTTAAAGCAATTGCTTTTGGATTGAAAGAAAAGCTGATTGAGAAAACTCAGCAACAGCCAACAAGAAAAAAGTTCCTTTTTGAAAGCTTATTTTTTAAGTCTACATTTTTTATTTACAGTAGGACTTCTGTAACTTCATTCAAATTAAAGATATCTTTTTATTGAAGTTATATTTAAAGAAATTGTTACACCTTTCTTGAACCACCAGATGAACGATAAAGGTCACTGATCATTGTGTGTGTGCAATGTTATTGGTGTTTCATCCCAGATATTTTCAGTATCTCAGGGAACAAATTACATTTCTGAAGTCTATTTAAAGTTCACGCTTGTCACTCACTCCCTCACCCTTTCCCCTGAAAAAGTTTTTACATCAGGTACCTTGTGGTTTTAACTTCTTACTAACAAGTCTTTAGTAAACAGGGATTACTTTACACTTTATAGGATGCTGTGGGGCAATTCTACATCTCGTTAAAGAAATATGAGACATTTATTTATTTATATCTATGAGAAGAATGCAGAGGGCAGCTAAAGGCACATGTTTTCTCAGTCCTACAATATAACAAGCTTCTATGAAACATAGACGGCAGTAATGAGATTATATATGTTTGTGTTGACTGTACGATCTTTGTACTTTCACATAAGTTGGACATAATTAGGCTTCATAGAGTTTTCTTCACGGATAAATACAGTAAAGTGTTCTTCAAGTAACAGTCATCCTCAGGAAATCACACAAGGCTATCTATCCTTTTTCTAAAGCATCTTCCACTAGACGTACATTTCAAGGACTCTGCCGTTTTTATAATTTCTATGCTATAATACTTTATATATAGACAGTGTGAAAAGAGAGTGGGACGGATACAAAGCAGATGCGCAGACCTTTACTCTCCACTGCTGTCGCTCAGAACATCCTTTCAGAGATGTATTTGAAAGTGCTAAAAGGTGTATTGCTCAACATGTCCTCCATGATGTGAGCTTTCACAAATGTGAATTATACTGTCAATAATTTTGCCTACCACAGCCTCTCTTTAACTAGATACAGAATTGGTTCCAAAACGACCATAAATCACTTGCATTCCTTTTTGTTTTTTGTCCTAAAAATGCAGATATATATTTAAGTATGCCTTTGTCGACAGAGGGTTTACCCCTTCCGTGACCCCTTATCAGCACCTAATTAAACACAGACAGTTTGAGGTTCAGATGAGAGTTACTGACCATTAAGATCAGCGTGTCTTGAATAGGAACATTCATTGTGTACTCTGATCAAAGGAGCATTGAATGCATCTGCATTGCTGTCAAGAGTGTTCAGTCTGGCTGTGGTTATAATTACATGATGGAACAAGT